AAAAAAAACTGGAAGTAGTGAAAAACTAAATTAAAATGAATGAACTAATGAAGAGTATAATAGTGTTTGACTTTTTAATTTTAGGGTATCAATAAATTAATACCTTCATCTTAGCATTGAAATAGTACAAATACATTAGTATAAGATGAAATCATCATCTAAATTTAATGTGGGGCATCTATAAAATGTGGTATAAATATATACTAGAAATAGTATTCAATAATACAAAGAAACGAACCACTAACAGGTACTAGAATATGGATGAATCTCAAAAATCACCATGCTGAGTGAAAGAAGCCAGATGTTAAAGAATACATATTTATATGATTCCATGTATATGGAATTCAAGAAAATGCAAACTAATCTATACAATGACAAAAAGGAGGTCAATGGTCGACGGCGGCCAAAGGAATAAAGAGGGATGGCATTCTACCTAGAAGCACATACTGGACCATAATGCAGAAACCCAACGGGATCAGGCAGTCTCAATGATTTGATAAAATCTTAAAATCAGATCAGAGTTTGAAGAAACCAAGGCAGCAAGAGTTTCTGAGTTAGAAAACAAAAAGAGGAGGAAACTACAAAGAGAAAGTGCCAAACATCTGCCGAGGAGTCCCCTTAAGCATGTCTAAGAATATACTACCCAAGGCAAAGATAAAAACTACTAGACAGCACAAGGCCAAACAATTCCTGAAGCTCATATAGGGCAGGGAACAGTTTGTGTTCCCACCAGCCAGAGTGAAAAGATCTCCTAATACAACAAGGCCTATGACAGGGTCCTCAGAAGAGTATTGTCTAATTTGAAAGACTAAAGAAGACCTAGATAGCCCATGCCCTGACAAAGTAGAAGAGCAAGACTTTAAAGGATCAAACTGATCCAAAGTAACCTAACCGCAGGCTAAAAATAAGTCCCAAAGTCCCTAATGGAATATGACAAAAGCTAGTATCCCAAAACATAAAATTCACAATGGGCAGCACCCATCAAAAATTCTTAGGCATGCAAAACAGCAAAAAATGTCAACAAAAAAAAAA